TAATTGTTACGTCAGTTAAAAAGGTTTGAGAATGATGATAAGTTACGCTCAAATCATACAATCATGAGAGTGAATGTGACGAATTCAAGCGGGATATAGCTATAGGTACGTGATTAATAATCGATGATATGCTTGTAAAAGAAAGTAGGACGATGACCAGTCGGTACTCATTTACTGACTAATTTGTACATCATGAACGTCTAGATAAATACTCTTCAGATGGTCATTCATCAATCGCAAAACGATGCGGATAGATAGATAGTCAGACAGATTTGAATTTGAGTAAACTAGCAAGTCATTATTGATTTTGAAAAGTGATTGAGCGAGTAACGAACGAGCACAAGTGGAATGAATAAATGATGGGAAAATAATGGCACATCCATAATTACAGTCAACAATAAAGGTTAATTACGATCGTATACCACCACTTCCACTAACAACCAGCCTTACTTACACCATCGAATTTGCGTACGTTTTATGGCTGATCAACAGTCTTCGTACATTCATTCGCAATCAAATAAACTAAAAACTGCAGCCATAATTATTCACGACTTGATGACAAGTTCACATACTCACTCGTTCTTCTATTAATTTCAATTCGTTATTGTTTGTTTTACTCGTTAATTTACCTTCTACGAGTTGCAAATTTTTCTTTCCATCAGTCAAAAAATCCTAGTTCTTACATTAGGAAACCATTCTTCTAAGCCTACACATTCAATAAAAAGTATCTCGAGGTAGAGTATCTCAATGAAATGGTAAAGTGGTTTCCACAAGGGAAAAACAGCATGAAACTGACAAAGTTTGAGCGTCACATTCAAATGAACTGGGATAAAGAGGCACTGAAGCATATGAATCAGGGAAAGCAAATTTCAGAAGTTGAGTCGACAGAGAAATGAATGAATAACTACTAGGAGGAGAAAGACGACGTCGGATACGCATCGCTTTCCATTGACAGTCACCAATCATGACTTGCTGGCTTTACGCTGGTGCGTTTTGGCTTTAGACCTTTGTAAATATTTGCGCTTCGTTAAGTGAATACAGTAATGTAGGCATGCTTGAAGACTGTCAACTAATTACGGTATATAAGAGTCAGCGCTATAATGTGCTAGTTCTTAGTCAAAGCAAGATAACAGACTAGAGAAACAGTGAAGGGTTTGAGGAAACAAATGATGAATTGAGTTTTTCTGGTTGGGCGTATTGGCTGCTATTCATTGAACGAATCGTCTCAAGAGCATGACTAAAGCAAATAAATATAAGATTTATTTATATTGTATATGCATTCACCTCATGAGAGCGTTGTTCGACCATAACAACTCAACCACAAACATGAATCTTAATGAATAATCAAAACCCTAGATTGTGATTGTGATATTTGACATTATAATAGTAATATACGACGTTATTCAGACATAATATGCCTATTAAAGACACATTTATCTGAATTATTCCACAATTCACAGTACATATTCATAACCTTCAAATATTTATAGTATATAAGTTCATAATACAAATGTGCCTACCATTTCTTAAACCAAAAAGCATATCGAATTGGTCTGCTGTTCTCAGACTGAAAATCGCACAATTTGACTTATTCAATTCGCACTAAGATGGAAAATATAATCCACCCGCCCAATAATCTTCCGGCGGAATCTTTCGATGAATTGAACAATATTGTTTCACATCTCATATCTGAACTCTAATGTTGCTATTTAATGCCGGAACGTTAGCTTGTTATCTAACTGGATAATTTTGTCATTCACATTTGTTTTCTGTTAGCCAATAATATTTCCAGCAACTATTAACAAGTATTATTATTCTTAAGCACGCGCCTCATAGAAGAGAAAAAGTTTTGCGAAATATTCATCGAGAGAACGCGGCCACTGTGACCAATAAAAATAGTACAGTGGGTGCAACACGGGAGGTGGCATGGCGAAAAGATGTTCGGCTATAATGAAACCGTTACTGAATGTTGCTGAAACACTTTTATTCTTGCTAAAGTCCTCTTCAGTCACGTGAATATTTTCTAAACAAAATATTAGATTTAATATTATCTTCCGATCGTCATAACTAAAACATGATCACATTCATAACCACTTAATGTTCAGCTCACTAAATTCAAAATCCTCATTGCTAGGCAGCTAACAATTAATAAAGATACTTTCATACGTTCATGAACTTCCCACGGAAATATTTCTCATGCTCATCGAGTATGACTTCTCAAATTGCCAATAATTTTGTCAAAAAAATCAGAGTGTTTTATAAACGGCTTTCTCTTGAGATGTCCTAATTGTTTGTTCTCTGCTCACATAAGTAATAATCGTTTTTTCGAATACTTGCGTTTCATAAAAAGTCTTTTTCATTCACAATATATTTTGCTCAACATTTTGACATTAGTAATGGCATTCATTCAATAAGGAATGTATTTGATTTATTTAATAGGTTATGATATTTAAATGCGTAAACACGCTTTTCACTAACAATATTATCGAATCGCTTCTCAATTAGTTGATAGAAAAAATCAAGTGAAACGGCAGAATGAAGGAATTATTCAATACAGCAATTTTGATTACTTTTCAATTATGACAACCGAAAAATGATATTAAATATACCGATAAACATACGTCAATACAAACTGCTTGCGAAAATAGTTGAAATGAAGCACAATGCGAGAACAATTCGAAAGGAACAACATTAAAAGGTGCATGCAGCTAAGATTTCTGGAGGTTTTTTTTGAAGCAATTGTAAAATATTTTTTGAAGCACTCGCATAATGAAAATCTTAAGAACGTTTGCCGGGAATCTTTTTTTTTGGTTTTGAATGCAGCGGTCAGTGACGATGATCACGTAAGTACCGCTTTCAGCTGAGGACTGGGTTGAGGTAGACGTGAAACGACGAAGGAATGTAATGCTCAAGCATGATAACTGCTAGATGAACACGATGCTTGACAATCAGTTAAATTAATGAACATGTTAAACGAATGCAATAGTGTGTGAATACATTATTTACATATGCATTATTGTACGAATGTTGAGGTGTGCGATTATGCATGATATAATGATGCTGTTGCGGGCGCAGCAACAGCGCAAGGATGAATAATCAATCGTAAAAGAATCCTAAACAACAAATACAATACAATCACAACAATGATCGGAATAATGTGAGTGTGAATGGGAAAGTTGAATGTGTTATGAGAATTATTGATGTTTAGATGAATGCATGTTGATGATGATGGTCGATCGTTGATGAGTTGAGTGACGGATGAGGAAGGAAAACAGTAAAATACAATAACCGATTTTGCGGTACATAACCACGAACGCACATGCACAAACACAATCGCATCCACACACCTACCATCGATCTTTCTATCTCTTTCTTATGAGCACGACGACCGCGACTATTCCAGCAATCAACAATCATAATAGCTCATGTCAACAAAATTAATTCGACCCGTTTGTCAAGTGTTTTGCCCTCTAATGCCCTTCGTATCCATACCTCAAAATCTCTTCCATTCATTCTACAACTCGTCCGTCAACTACAACAATTCTAACACCACTCGCAAAATAACCTCTTCGTTTTGTTCCCTAGATTATCAACTCATCAAAAAGTTCAAGCTATGAATGAAACATTCGAACAAAAACTTTCTAGAAATGGATACAAGTAAGCACAGAACACTTGTATCGCAATCAATTTTGATGAACAAGTGTAAATGAATGCGTGCAGTAATCACATCACCACAACAATAAATCGCTGTGAACAAAATTAATTCAAATTTGTTTCCGCTCTCATTTACATTCTAAATGCGACATTGCAATTTCTCATCAAATCGTAGGAATCATGACGTGGAATTCATGCACGTACTATCGGTGGAGTGTTCAACCAGAAGAGCATTACCATTCGAGAGCATTCAGATGATCAGCGATTCAGAAGTTTACGATTATAAATCCAAGTATGAGGTTTTGGGACAGAAAACACTGCATTTAATAAAGCGTTGTATATTAGCAGTGAATTACCTGCTCATCTCTAGAACGAAAAGCAATCAGTGATTGAGCGAAAGTTCATTTGAATACTGTCGAATAATGAAAATTTTGAATTGTACACATGCAGAAGATGCTTGTGATTGAGACAAGGATGTTGGATAGTTTCAATAATGAGGACGTACAATTATCATTTATCTCTTCTTTATGATTCTATTGAACAAAATGTGGTAACACTAGACTTTAGTTGACAGAGGGTGCAACCTCATGCACATCTCAGCTGTTTGAAAGTTCAATAATTTCATTCAAATTTCACAGCACAAGGGGCATTGCCGAATTCAGGTGGGTTTTGAGTGATAAATTTTCACAAACTAATTATTCTAAGGAAAAACGCTTAGGATATATAAGAATAAGCTCAAAAATGACGACGAATCGTAGCATTCATGGTGATAAGGGCGCTGAGTAACTTTTTAAATTATTTTATAAAACACCATCCAGTAGGTGGAGCACTGAATGACGTTCCCTGAGGCAAGAGATAACTGATTGTAGAAAGAGATGGCTGGTCGCTCGAAATATTCTGTTTATTGACGAGTGCAAATTAAGCATCCACTTGTTCAAATTTATGCAACAATTTGATTTACGCTACTATTCATCACAAAATTTGCATCGTACACCATTCAGATTGCGGCTCCAATCATTTCCTTAATAATAATTCGACGACGAACATATTCATCTAACTTCTAAGCAAGCTTCTTATTTATCCTAATCACTTGTCTCTCTTTATGTTTGACCCCCTGTCGACGTTTCTTTATGAATTACATTTTCATTTATGCAGCAGCCTCACTCGCACATCAACATAATTCTATTTAAACCACACAGTTCAACTTCAGCTCTTCTCTAAATTCCATAATTTTTTCGACCTCATCAGCATGAAAATAGGCCGTCAATTCTGAAAAAAAAGGCAGCTTCTAGTTCGCATCTCAATCCACATATATGCTGCGCAGCATAAAATCAATTTCCTAAAGATCAAATCATGCAATCATTTATTATAGCACTCACCAGCTGCACACGTTGCAAATGTTTATCGGTTCTAGTGTGCAATTGGAAATTCGCCTTCAGATTCGTGCTGTACGGACACAGGTTGCATTGGTAAACGCCGTGTAATATGGACATGTCACCGATCACTGGACGGCTACGGTCTCGCTCTGAAAGTGAATATTTTGGGGGAAAGATTAGAATGACATCGTTTGTTCAAAGAAGAACGAAGCTGATATACATTCAAAGATACAGCGTTACAACGTGAACGCAAGCGTCGTGTTGTCGCATAACTTGCGTTTTCTCTTGGTCACCTTTAATGACCGCTTCGATAGAAATCATCATGAAGATGAGTTATGTTCACTCATTGTCAAAGAAACTCGCAAATATTGAGTGAACTTAACCAACAATTGCCAGTCAACGTTTCACAAACAATTATTCATTGGGATAAACACTTGGTTAAGTTCGACATTTTAGACCCATTGAAGATGACACTCAGTCGCATTCACAAGCAACTTATACTCACAGGAAGATCAAAGAGAAAATGAGGAATGAACGGGTAGCTTTTGTGTGATTTTTACTGATATGAGCGAAGTTGATTGCAGATGATCAAAAGTATAATAAATCAAATTTTGAACAGCTTTTGGGAAAATTTTCTTTACCTTCCCGATCTGAACAGTAATACTTCACTGACACATTCCGAGATAGGGTTTATTGAACATACGCAGGAAATCGTAAGTTTCAATATCTAACAACCGTCTAATTTTCTTGTTATGCTTGTAGTTGGCTAAGATCTTCATGAAACTGTCCAGTGAGGCTAGAGTGCATACAGCTAATGTTCTCTTCGTATAGGCACTGCATTACTTATCAATAAAAACGGACTAAACCGAATCGCTCCTACATACAATTGCATCATCAGTTTATGAGATTCAATTGAATTTATGATCCTATGATTAAATTTCAAGTATTGTACCGAAATAAAGCGAAATTGAGTTGAAGCCTAGTAACTTCTACAACACTGTATTACGATAGGGTCTCACTGCTAAATATCAGTCGTTCTGTATTGCGCAGATGTGCCCATCAATACCAATTGAAAGCCACTAGTTTAGGCATTGAAGAAATGACGAAAATGCACTTAAGCTTTGGTCATTGATACTTTTAATACAAATCAGTTAGTTTGGTACTCTTTGATTAGCTGCTGCTGTAAGTTTGACTCAGCTAAAAATGTTAGAAAGCGAACACAAACGTATTTTAATCTCGAACAACTTTTCGACTCCAAAATGACGTGAAAAGGTAAAGAAATCAATGACAGCAGAATACCTATATGTTCGAGCATATCGTGAATACTGTCACTACAGTAATTCGAACATATCAAACATTGAAGCGTACTTTCCGAATCCAGTTCAGCGCACGCTGTACCAGAGTTAGCTGAAAATTACGAATTCTTCAAAAGATGATTATCGATCACATCAGAACGCTAAATATTATCGAAGCCACTAAAAAGTAGAGTAAAAACCATCGAAAAGCTTAATCCTATGAAAATGAAAGCAATAAAATGAGTGAGTTAACACATTTAAACCATTTTAAATAGCAATTAGTCGTTATACATGTAAATGTACTGAAAAATGACTTAAAGAAAAGTTTTGGTTCATGATCTGAGTTTTATGTGTTATTTTCGTGCAGCGATGATGACTGCAGTTAGGGATGGAACATGATGAAAACAAAATCATGCAAATGATGGCAACCTGATAGCACCGAAGGCATCTCTTGCATGGCATGTAAATGCTTATCACTTTGCATATGGATGCTGAGATTGCCTTTCGTTGTTGTACTGTATTTGCATAGTTCGCACCGGTACGGCTTATAGCCACATGAATAGCTTTCACCTCTTGCAAGACGCGGATGAGCTCGTCCTTGAAGGCAATAAGCACATTTCACCTGCGAAATGAACAAATCTTACCATCATTTCCTCAAATCAGTCCCTTATTGAAAATACATCGCCTCATCCTACGCATTTAAATCACTGGATTTCATCTTTTCGCAATGACTAAATGAATCAGTTCAGCATGGTAGATTTTCCATAAGTTCCCACATGTTGTGAAGGATAGATTAAAGGAAATATGCGGATGTTTGTATGTAGGTGATAAAAGTATATACAGAGAGGAATATTTTAATAATTCCACGAGAATGATTCAAATTCATAACAGTAACCCTGAAAGCTTTTCAGCAGTTAATGGTTATATGTTATGAATAAATGGAAAATGAATGTTCTTCGGTGATTGGCTATTTGTGATGAAAACAAACTAAAGATTTATCTGGCAACCTCATTATCCGAATGTTTCTCCTTCATATGTATTTCCAACGTTTCTTGATATTTATAGTGCCAGTTACATTTCGGGCATTTGAGCGTTTTTGAGCTATTACGTGCAGTTAACGCTGCAGCCGATATAAGAGGACTGGACGATGGAATTGAGTCGATTTCACCTGAAGTATTCTGTTTTCGAGATGGTACACGCTTCTATTATGATGAGAGACAACAGACCGTAAAATGAAAGAACGACTAATACTAGTAAGTATATCTGCATCGTTTCTGAATCTTTGAATATGGACAACTCAGCGAAATTGTCAAAATCTCAATCCTAAAAGATGCAGTCACTGAAATACACTTCAATATTGGATCAGTGTTTGAAAGTTCTGAAACGTATGTAATGTTGTTCTGTCTTCGAGATATATGGCAAATAGTGTGCTCATACATCTTTGAGTGTAGAATATCATGTGGTGGTGTTTTGGAAAAAGGTGCATGAGCAGTACGAAGAAAACATTAACACTCACCATACCTTCGCATGCATCTAATTGTAAGGATGGGCTCAGTACTCGTTTTTCTCAAAACAATCTAGATAAAACTTCAACCCAAAAATCAGTTCAAAATGCCACTCAGTCGACTTGCTGTTAGCTCGAAGCAAGAAAACACAGAGTGCTATACTGTAGCTGTATGGGTGGCTCCAAATTCGATGCGGGTTTTAACTGTTTATAATCAAGAGCATTCGGATAGATCGGTACCGCAGCAGTCAACTGCCCTTCACTCCTTTGCGCTTTGGAATATTATGCCCGAGCGTATTTTTATGGGGCATTGAGAAAAAACGTTGTGTACGTTGCACAACATTGCAAGTAGGGTCAGCAGAAATACGGATGAGTTGCTGCTGCCTGAAGCACAGATGAAGATGCGGATGCCTGATGGGCAGTCAACTGCGGTGGTGACAACTGAATCGATCGTAGTTAACAGCTGATAGGTGTGGCTATCTGCATCAACTGCTTGTAAAATGCGAATATAAATGCCGTCTTAACCAAAAATTTAAACGAGAAGAGTAGCGTGGAGCGCCTCTTCTCAGAGTTACCTCCATGGAACGTTCAACTAAATTATAGTCAATAAGGTAGACTGTACCCAAAGAGGTGCCCGCGCAGCACTGTAGCGCATGTTCCTTGGAGAAGATGGCGCTATATACTTTACCGTACTTTTTTTGAAAATGCTTTTTGAAAATTGCTGGATATCCGAAAACTTAGCACGCATATGATCATAGTAGCGAATGAAAAGCATACGCTCTATGGTCAGTGAATAATTTTGACTAATGTCCATCTGACTTATGAGCATATAAAAGGTTTGCTGCAAATCGAGAAAAGATTCACAAAGAATGGAATTAAAAAACTGGTCTTGAACACAAAACGGAAAATTTCTCGAAGTATCGTTATAGCATACTCTTTTCTTTAAGCATATTTGGCTAAACAGTACAGATTGTATCATCAAAAAGTTACAGTCTAAATAGTGGAATTATCAACAGGTTTTACCGCTAAGGTTCAGAGAAGACGCTCCATTTATCAAGTTCATTGGAACATGCTGCAAAAAGGGTGCGTTGAAGTCACTTGCTAGAAAGCTTGCTTGCAACATTTGATCGACATCCAAAGAAGAATTTGCAACTTCGCTACTACCCATTATACCACATCCAAATTGCGTAGTATCGCTGCAAAAACAATATTTATCGTATATCATTTCTGCAAAACAAACGCAATATCAACATTTCCTGATATTTTTTTCATCATTTCTTCACCATTCATAAAACATTCCTATCACTGTTTAGGTCTAAATTTTAGTCTCAAACGAATTAGACTGTATGCAAAAGATGTAAACAAATAAGCATAAAAGTATGACGAACCGTATTGAATCGGCAAATGAAATGCTCAAATCACACATCATTACAGTCGTAAACGACCGGAGGTCTGAATCGTTAGGGAATGAGGAAGTTTGCAGATCAGAATGTACCAAGAAAACATGATCCCTGAAGAATGCAGCAGTGGAAAACCTGAGACGACAGCGCAAACAAAAGAAATGAGGGCAAGGATCAGGTAATGAGGGAGTTTGTGCGTTACAGCCAAGAACAGCCCACTGCAATACGATGTGTTCTTTGATTAGTATCAGTCGAGAAATTGTTGATGAGCCGAGCGATAGTGTGCCTTCGAACAATGATGTGTCCAAACCACTTCCAACACATTCATTGATCACTAGTACCGGACCCCATTGTCGATAATCGCCTTCGAAAGACACCTGCAAATTGTTTTCAAAAACACGGTGATTGAGTAATGCCATAGTTCAGTTGGCCAATAATCACAGCATTTTCTATTACCCTATCATAAAAACGATGACAACCTCAGAAAATACCGTATCCCAATGATCATAATCAAAAGTATCTATGTGAAAAACAGTAAGTGAAATAGTGCATTAACATAACATCGTACATCTAAAATGACGACATTCAATTATTTGTATGTGAAAGCCACGAGAGTCGAATGCAATTCAATTCGGTTAATTGTTTAATCATTCAACGAAATAACATGAACGCACAGTACTATGCTGAAAAGCAACAAGGATTCATGGAGGTAAAGAATGCAAAATTACGGTGACTGTCAAACTGCTAAAAATGGGAAATAATTGAGGTTGCATAAGAAGTACAGAACAACTGCATTTTCATTTTTGCTTGTTATTTTTATCATTTGATTTTCAACGTCGCCATCTTACTGAACTTGAATATGGCAAACAACAAAAATATCGAAAGTTTTTAAACATAGTCATATGAGGGTCTTCTGAATTGTCAACTCTGCCATAACTTACAACTAGCATATTTTCAATGCGATGAGTTCTTAGGGATTTTCAAGATAATTATAACTGTTTTGTTGTAGTCATAATAAATAATGCGCTACTTTGATTAGCGCTTGGTAACATTAAAAAAAAAACAACAATTAATCGCCATTTCAAAAAGCTGGTGCCACATATGTTCGTACTGCACTGAACCATATAAAGGTTCGGCATTTGCAAAGAAATGCCGAATGATGAGAATTTTATAGGCGTAAAGCTCTTAATGACGGCACTCTAGCACAGAGGAAACGTTAACCTAAACTTCGCACGTCTATGATTCAGAGCCAACAGACTTAAAGACGCTCTATATACTAAAGTCAGCTCTGCTATTGACTTAGCTATGAGAAGAGGAATGACTGAACTAGACAGAAACAATAACAACTAAAATAATAAATTCTGTTTCCGAAGAAACAGATTCGGAATATCAGTAAATGGAAAAGGAAATAAAACTGAAATTCTAGTGAATGAAAATGGTGCCTATTATGTATGCACAACGAGTAATACATAAACTTTCGTCTGCAATATTGAAGCTTTCAAGTGCAGTAATCAAACAGAAACGCTTATTGTACCTCGTCAAGAGATATAGATTCAATGAAAAATACATGCAGTTAGTCAATTCGTCTTTATTCGAGGCGATATCAGCAATACAATTCCACAACGTAAATCACTTTGACGAAGCAAAATGTGACACGTGGATGGGAGTAAGTGGGTAAGTAAGTACGGAATGGATGAAAATAAGATGAGTCGAATGACGAGAAGCGTTTCACACAAAAGCTTAGTATGATTGGCTTAGTATCAGTATGAACGTTAATGAGCAGCAAATTAGGCGCAGAGAAACGAACAAGACTCATATCACTATCTTGAGCCGACTCCAAACACTAAATGTAAACAATGCGTAATTAGGCACTGAGCCACCAAAGCATCTATCCAGCAACTCTTCAGTCATTGATTCAGGGTGCTTCTCGTGACGTGACACAACATTAGTTGTGTACGCAATTGTCCATTTCATTGCACCATTACAAAATTCATCAATCTTAATTCGATGATTAGCAAACATCGTTCGTTCTATTCAATTTATCCAAAGCACTTCAACTTCAGTAGATTCCAATTAACAGATATCGCGGCATGAAAATACCTCCTCAAAGATCAACCAACAGAATTTTAGACTGCAGTACCTTTAATTTACAAACACAGTTATATGGTATTGACCTAAAACGCTCATTTGAAGCAGCAAACGCTCAGCTGAAGCCGGCTGTTGTGTGACGATCCCACGGTGGCGGCCAACGAACGCAAAGCACCGCACCTGGGCGCAATATGTGTATTCTGGCTCATTACGTGTTTTATAGTGATTATAATAGTTTCTGATGAATCGTTGGAAAAATGGCGAATTATTCGCCCATATGCTTTGATAGACCTCCAGAAAGGCGCCTTTGTCTTTGCCGCACAAGCCACATTTCATAACTGATACAACGGTGAACGACGCACATTGAATTTGAATCTGTAAGCGCGCTGAATTCACTATCGCTGACTTATTACATTTAAAGAATATTGCTTCAAACAAGATATTGCTCACTTATTGAATCTTTCCGTGGTTGTTGCAGCACTCAACGCCACTTAATCTGAATGTAGGGTCAATTTTCGACATTTTGGCCCATAAATTCAAATGAAAAATTTTGCAGATCATCGTATCACAGCAGTAATGAAGAAAAATACGTGTTATGCGAAAGAGCATTACTACAATATACAAAAGCAGCGAGATGGTTACGCTGTGAGATACTTCTCGAACATCCCAATCAATAGGGTCGTTGAAAGAATGAACCACTTTTACTGTTCTCACAGTGGTAAATATTTTATGTATTCTTCTGTAATTTTTTTTCGCAGGCAAGTTTTCTGCGCTATTATGCAATAAGAATAGGGAAAAATTTTTGCATGTTGAACTTGTTCTGAATTATTTATTTGAAGAACTGAATCAAAAAGTCACATAAAGACCGTATCAATGTCAACTGCTTGGCGTGTTTGGACTTGCGGCGTGAACAGCTAACGAGGAGGGTTGAACTAGCCATTATCTGCTACATGTCAATCTCAACCAAAGCACTTTCAAAATGCCGAAAAGCAGGGACATTTTTCGGCGAAACTATGCTCACGATGGCAATATGAAAGTTAAAATACACCCATAAACAATGCAAGAAAATATGTAGCATTGAATTTTAGATCAATTGCCGTAAACCATAACACCAACTGCGTGCTTGAGAGCAACATTTCATTTGTCAGTTAAACAGTTTAAGCGACAGCAAACTGGAAAGCGATAAATACAGTCAATTTTGAAGCGCTTGTCCGTACGAAGCAAACGATCGTAATTTTCTTCATAACACAATTCGATAGGCTTATGAGCAACTATTTATTAATTTATTTATTTAATCAGCAATTACAACTCATTACGAGTTTATAGCTCTCTGTTATCACCAATATCACATTCTTCCTCCTTTGAAATCCTTCTCTCCGCACAGCAACTAATTATGATCAACTAAAGTCGTGACACTCATTCACAAGGGCGGCTGAACCTAAAGTTTCGTTTTCGTATGAAACATCAAATAGACAAATATTAGACCAGGAAAGAACCTAAAAATTGGAACGAGGAAGTGAATGCTTA